GTTTCTGGACAGTATAAAAACAAGGCAAATATTTCCAAGCAATCTCTGCAGAAGTCTCTTGCCCATAAAAATGCCACTGAATACCATTTGCTCCTGGACACGAAATGGAGGTCATCCAGGACAGAAGTACAACTCCCAATATTTCAATTATACCGCAGAGACCTCCAGAAGAGCTACCAAATTGTAATGATTAATGTGGCAAAAGGGGAAGGTTAGTGAATAGACGGCCAGACAGAAATAATCTTAACCATATCCAGTCTTCATTTAATTTAAATGTAAATCAAGTTGAGTTAATAAATGAACCCTAGACTCCTTTATTTTGGGGGGCAGCCTCTTGAAGGCTGAAGGTGGTCTTTGATATGGAAAAAAATGACCCCTACAGAATCAGGTTCCAAACCTTTAATGTGAACCCAGGAAGCAGGAAGGGAAGAACTCAGCAGCTTTGCTAATGAGGTCAAAACACTGTCTGGGAAGGAAGAGGGCAGGAATCGGTCTCTGTGCCTTCCCTAGTAAAAGGAACAACCTTTTTTCCTTTTTTTATAATCAGTTTTTAAAAAAGCGGTAAGAAGGTAGCTGAATGAGGTATAGTTTTTCTTTCTTTAAAAAAGCAAAGGGTATATAAACAAGAAATTGCCACCCTTTTAATTAGGGCAGAGATTAAATATTCATCTATGGGGTGTCCACAGGGGACGGTCCAAAAAATGAAGATGGTGGCTGCAGCCATGCAACCAAAGCCCCTCCCTTTTTTACATACCACCCGTATGTCCCCCAGAGCTCCTGGACAAGTTGGGGGGGGAAAGTGATGTTTCCACATGTTATAAACGGAACACATTTGGGGCTTTGTGAATATTTTGCAAATGACTGAGCTGAGTAAGGTTGCTTAATTTATTTTCCCTTTGAAAAAAAGGTGGTGGTTGTGGGAAAGTCAGCTGAGTAATTGTACCATTTCTTTTTAGAGGGGCCTTTTGTTCCAGTGTGTGACTGTGTTGACGGAAAGAGAAAGGCCGTTAAGAGTCAGGGTTTGTTAGAGGCAGCATCAAGGGCTGGGCTGTTATATCCTAAAGAGGCTTCAGAGATATAATACATTAGTTTATGCTGCATTTGCACCCACCCATGCCAGGCTCTGCCACCTAATTATGTCCCCGTGAGTGTGGCTTCAACCAGCAGGAACTCTGGGAGGAAAAAGCTTCGTATTGCAAAAGAATCAGACTCTGGCTTTGGCTCTCCTGTTAAAGGAACCAGGAAGCCTCCAGTGCGAACTTGTTAGGTGTGATGCAGACCAGAAGTCCCAACTCACATCTCACACTTTCTCGCTTTCCACCCAATGAGTCTGATTGTAGAAGATGCTACTGTTGTTGAAAGGACCGAGTAAAAACAGTGAGTGCTGAGCACCACGACAGAGCTTGTCAACAGAAACCCAGTTTCTCTGGAACTTCGGCTAATGGTTTTGTAGAAGGGTGATGGTCTGGTGCCGCATGGAAGAGGGAAGAGTTGGCAGCGATCCCGTCCACATGTTTGGGCTGGTAGGTGCTTGCCTGTTAGGCAGTAGGCAGTGCCTGCCATTTTTGAAGTTTCTCTCTCGAGCTTGTACACCTTCTCCAGAGGTGTGGTGAGTACAGTGTCCTTAACCCCGTGTTGGTCGAGAATGATGAGTAGTGTATTTCTACCTATCTCTGGAGGGTCCCAGTTTGGGAAAAGCCAAACTAGAATTTTGGTTTTAAAAAGACAAGCCTTACGTTTCAGATTATTGATTCCATTAATGTTTGGCTCCACCACTGGCTATGCAGGATGCATTCTGGATATGCCAAGGATCAATACACATCACAGAAGCCGGCCCCTTGAACATCACTGTTTTGATGGATATTTTTAAAGACAACCCACTCAGGAGCATCCACTGGGTGTTCTCCGAAAAATCAAGGTGCCAGCCGTGACCATACAAAGCTCCACCCCTTTTTTGTGTGTGACACATGTGAAAAAGAGGTAGGGCTCCAATTGTGCAGCTGTTTCACTTCTTTTTATCCGCCCCCCCACCCACTGGTGCCCCTGAACCCACTTCTGAGTGGAGGGGAAAATACCGCTGTAGTTTGCAGTTTCTCTGTGATGGTTTGTTTCACCACAACATTCCAAATTATTTTCATAGCTCTCGATGATTAAAGAATGGTGCAAAGTTAACCTGCATAATGTAAGACTACGGAAGTGGAAATCTCACCCTCTTCTGGTTTATGGTTGCAAAGGTCACCCTCTGGCTCTGCTTGGACATCCCCAGTTATGCTTGGCTACTCCCAGCAAGAGTGGGTGGGCTCCAGAGCCCCCTGCTCAGAGATTTCCAGCTGATCTCATGTGGGGACATGTTGTGGGTGGCTCTCCCTTGACGAATTGGTGCCACCGTGTCAGGGAGCTGGGAGATGTTGATGAGTGCCAATGTGGGAGAAGCATCTGCTGGGGGAGGGCTGAATTTTTAAATGTGGTCTGATTAGGAGACCCCAATATTAAGGTTGGAAACCCTGAGGTGGCTTGAGCGACTTGCGTGGGAAGCGTTTTCTGATTCACCTTTTTGGTTTATTGTCAGAACTGCGTGGCTTCATTGTTTTACGGAACTGTTTTCACATTAGAGAGGTCGGGCAAAAGGCACCCACCCACCAGCAGGGTTGCATTTTTGTGCAGAGGGTAAGCATACAAGCGCAAACTTCAGAAGGAAGTATATTCGATTTTAAAGACCGAAGGCTATCTGGGCAGCGGGTGAACCTAGCGATCGACCTGATGTATGTCTGCATTATTCCAACAGGGGTTTCCATCTATTCCATGGAATTAATTATTTTGGTAAATAAAAGCACATACTCTCTTCTTTGTCTGCCATCCTGCCAGCTCTGTAATACTTGATTTCTGCACATTTTAGAAATTCACACACAAAAAAAGCTTACAAAAAGAGCTGTTTAACTGCATTGTGTTAAAAAAAAGTATACTACAATGTCAATAATAAAACTGGTTTCTCATCGACAGTGAGCCTTATCGCATTGGTGTCTGTACTGTTCCCCTTCCATTTTCTCTCCTCCCCCTTCCTGAACTTGTCTTCCAAACACATTTTCTGATGACGATGCTCAAGATTCACAATATCCTAAACTTCCTCCCTTGTCTGCATACTTCCTCGACTGCGGGAAGCACCGATATCCGCCTGATTTCTGCACTGCATTAAGTCGAGACGGCAGCCGTGACTGTGATTGAAGCCCCACCCCTTTTTGATGTTGTATGTAAAAAGGGCGGAGCTTCAGTTGCACCTTGACTAGACCCAACTCCATGGGCGCCTTGGCGGGTACTCGGAGAGGCTTCCAAAAAATGTTGCCAACTTCAGTGTGATTGTGGAGCAGCTTTACCGATATTCACTGCTGATGAAATGTGAACGACATAAAACAAAACTTAGTTTGGGATTTATCTTTTTGTGTGGGAAGTGTGACCACCCAACCTTGCCACTCGTAGACCAAATGTGCCCCTTCCTGTGCTGGGAAATAACAGTGAGACATTTTGCTAAGTGCCAAGGTGGTTTGCTTGTTTGTGGTTTCAAATGTGCGAATTTAGCCATCACAATTCGTGCTTAGTACCCTGCTAGTTTCACTCAGCTATTTAGTGTAGTGTGTGAACCCATCAAAGTCTCCCTCCACTCCCCCCGCCAGCTGAGACACAGTCTCCCACCCAGCCTTTCCAGTCTGAAGTCAGGCTGTAACCCCCATTATCCCCAGCAGCTTCTCATCAGAAGAATGGGCATAGCACTTCCAAGCCTGAACCACCTTGGCGGAAGCTCCTGGGGCTACGCATCTGACCAGAGATGAGCGAGCTGGAGAAGGACCTTTGCCTGGCATCCAGCTGAAGAGCATTTAAAGTGTGGATTCCAGGCAGGTGGGGGGCACCAGTCTGGTTTGGGACAGAGAAACCCAAACCAGCAGAACACAGACTAGGTTGGAGTGGTGACTCTGCAAACTGCAGCTTTTTCAATGGGATTCTGCTTGGTTCCTTACACATCCCCTTTGTGCCAGGAGCTGGGGTGCTTCTCCTTTCTCCAATTTCCCCCCCCACAAGGCTGGGCTGGGCTGGGTGAGACTAGCCAGGACACCCGGCAAGTTTCCATAGCTGTGTGGATTTGAACCTAGGTCTTTCTGGTCCTGGTTCAAAACCCAACCACACCACCACCTTTTTAGAGTTTCATCACCACTAACAACTCAAGAGCAGACCAAACATGAGCATGCTAAGTTGATCTCTTAAGTGCCACTGCACCCCTAAATTCTAAATTAAGTGCCATTGGACCCCGGATTCCGCTTGAATCAGAGCTTCATGGGCAGAGCTTGGCGCACTGAGGAGCAGGGGGAAGCCCAGGCCCTCCCAAGGATGCTGGCCCACCGCTCCCAGCATCTCTCACCATTACGATGACCTCTTATGTCCCAACCCTATGATTCTATTAATCATCAGCCAGGCGGATTGGAAGCACAGGGAACTGCAGTCCTGCAATGGGCTGGCTTTGGCGTCTCCTGCAGGCCGGGCTGCGCCAACCATGCTTGCTTTGGGGTGCCAGTCGTTCTCCAAAAGCATGTAGGACTTGGCACCCAGTGCCGGGCCCCCCGTTGTCCCTTGTGACAATCTGTCCCTCTCCACTATTGTACTGTGGCTGCTTCAAGCATTCCAAAGGGTGGTTTATTTTTATTTCGTTTGGATAGATTTTGGTCCTTAAGCTAGGAGACCAGCTATAAATATTTTGTAAAATAAACACCTTGAAGGCCCTGGGTTGCCTGCTCCAGATCTATGCAGTCATTCCTTCACCTTCTAGACTTGAATGAAGTCAGCCAAAGCCTCCTTCCCAAATACTTTATTTATTAAACTGCTCGCTGGGCAGAGCGATCCTTCTTGGATACGAGTCTTTTCACGGAGATCAGAGAGGCAGCACAAAATGCCAGTCCTGCACTTCTGTGCCCAGGGATGGAGGACAGGAAGTGCTCAGCTGTGTAGCATTGGGGTAGCTCAGGATCAGACCTCCCTCTTGCCCAAAGAGGCCGTGCAGTTCCTGGGACAGGCGCCAAGTCTCAGCCTCTCAGAAAACAACTTCTCTCAAGCAACGGAAGCCCCCAAGACAAAGAGGCTGGGGAGGGGGGCTGTTCCTCAGCGCTTCATGGCTACCGGGCAGATGTTCTTGTTGAGGCATTCGCTGCAACGTGGACGGACAGGCAAGCAGATCTGCTGCCCGAAACCGACCATGAGCCAGTTGATCTCACTCCAGAGAGTTCTGCGGACGGCGGGGCAGGGAGAGGAAAGCAAAACATTTCGAAGCGATGGATTTCTAACCATCTTCACAAAGAAATTTAGCAGTTGTAAAAAGAAACACAACATCCACATTCAGTGAGGCCTGAAGCAGCCCGCTCTCAGATGTTACAGGAGGAGAATTCCCAACCGGTGTGATCCAAGTTAACATTACCATCAGCAAATAATTAAAATCCTGGAGCATCAAGTAACACAGGTGAGCTGGGCCCTGCCAAGCCAGCACTGGGGACACTAATGGGAAGGAGGTCTGCCACCACACCCGATTTATCAAAGGGCAAACTAAGGATTGCTCCCCGCCTCACTGGCTGGCTTCCCAGAAGCCTCCCCTTTGCCCTGGGCTGGTGGACACATTTTAGAGCCACCCTCCATGCTTAGTTCCTAAGAATGCCAACAGGACTACGGGATTCCCGGGGCACTCCTGGCCAGAAAGACGAGTCCGAAGCTGGTCCTTGGCTTTCATTGCCAAGCGAGGTGTTGGCTGGCACACTGATTTCTGCACGCACCATGGTGGGAACCACAGCCTTACATGGTAATGGGAGAGAGAAGTCCTACAAGTGTGAGAAATTTCCTACGGGAGATGTCCCAAATCCTCCTCTTGTACAGGCAAAGGTGAAAGCCAGCCCTTTGCCCTGAGCACTGAAATAAATTGGAAGGTGGAGTAACAAGTGGAAAATGGGCCTGAGCAACCCCCACGTTCCGTGGTTTCCAAAGCTTTCTCCAAGTGAGAAGGTGTGCATGTCACACTTGAAGTAGCGGCATTGCTGACTGATATTTGTGGAATGCAGACCTCTACGACAAGCATTTTCAGCCTGTATTTCAGAGAATGTGCATGAAAGCCACCTTGGCATAGTGGTTAAGGCATCAGGTCAAAAACCGGAAGACTATGAACTCTAGTCCCATCTCAGGCACAAACCCAGCTGGGTAACCTTGGGCCAGTCCCTCACTCTCAGCCCTAGGAAGAAGACGGTGATGGCAAATCACTTCCAAAAACATTGGCAAGAAAACTGCAGGGACTCATCTGGGCAGTCAACAGGAGTCAAACTGACTCAAAGGGAACCCCCACATTTTTTTTTCAAAGAAACCTCAGCTCTTTCAAGGTGGATCAGTTTTCAGAGAGGAAAATATGATGAGCCTTGAAACACAGACTCCCCCCTCCTGAAACAGGCAGTATTGGAGGGAATGGTCAACTGGAGACCATTTTTGAAGCTCCTTTGCCTGTAGCTAATCAGCATTAATAAGGAATGGTGGTGGTGGGGACCTCTTATTTCACTGTCTCTGCACAAAATCCTAGGAGCTGTGATCTCATGCTGAGACAGAGAGAGAGAGAGAGAAAACTCAAATATTTAGGACCAGTTTGGACAGGCTCACCTAGGCAGCCATTCTTCCAGAGCTTGCCTCATTTCCTCTGGAAGCTTTGTTTCCTTCTTTGCCCACTTTAACCTGTTGCAAATCCGATGCACGTGTGTGTCCACACCTGTAGTTCAAAATCAGAAGGGGGGAGCTGTCATAAACAGGGACAGGGAAAAACCCCTCCCTGCTGCAATCAGATGCATCTCGCAGCAGTGCTGCTTCTTGAATGATGGCATTTGATCCCCTTAGGAATGCAGTTTCAGCCCCATCAACTCAGCTTACGAATTGGCATTTTGTTTAACTATAGGGAAAAGCTTTGTCAGAGTGAGGTCTGTCCCACAGTAGGATATCTACAAATGGTAACAATGGGTTCTCCATCTCTGGAGAGTTTGAAGAAGAGGCTGAATAACCACCTCTCAAGAGTTTGGTTTTCTAGAGGGCTGGGCTAGATGATCCTCTGGATATCTTCCAACTCTACAATTCTATATATAAGTTGGCTATCAGCGTGGTGAGACAGCTTAGCCACTGCTTTGAACTAGTGGTTCTGCCTTTTCCAAATTCAGTCCCCTAATTCTTTTCCTTCTCATGAACAAAACTTGGATCTACAGGCTAAAAGTTTAGGTCTAAAGCCAAACGCTACATAAAATGTCTGCAGTAAGAAGGTGGTAGAGAGACAAGCTGAAATCTGGTGACTGTTTGTCTTTCCTATGTCCAGGGCAAGATCCTAAGCTCTTTCCTCATCAGTTTATGCCATGACTGGAGATCAAGGAAGGAGAACATCAGTGATCTTAGGTAGGAAAGGCTCCAAGAAATGTTTTTTTCTTCTGGAGCTCCCAGGAATGCCCACGGCATATTGAACATTAATTGGAAAGAAATCAAACTGGAGATTCAGCAGGACTATTTGCAAACACAGCCACTGATCTACTTTGCTGTTCTTAGTGGCTGCTTTCCCCCCACAATGCCAGCTTCTTCTCAACTACTCTGAGGTTCTCACAGCCAAGCCGTTCATCAGGAATTGACTAACCCTAACCCTAACCATAGTTCCCCAAAATTCCACCCCTCGCTCATCTTAATACTCATCAGCATTCAGGAAAGGAGGGCAGAAAGAAGTGCTGATGCCAAGGCACCACAGTGCCACCTGCTGCAGGATTCTGTCATGTCACAGACACACTCAAGGCAGAGGAACTCTTGTGAAGCAGCAACAGGAATTTGGAAGCCCTCAGCCACAAAAAAGCTTCTGCAGTTAGATGCATGAGCCAAGATCCCCCATTTAAGCCTTATCTCTGCCCAGATTCACCAGATGGCTTGTTGCAATTCTTCCAGATCCATCCCACTTTAGATTTATTCCCGTGAAATTTGGGCTGGCTGAAAAACTGTCTGGCTGGCAGTTCACTGCTTGCCTTGGACATGCCAGCCCACTGAAAGAGGCACTGTCATTCCAGAAGTGATGTTCCACCTCTCCTGTTTCGCCCATGAGGAACCATATGCCTGCTGGTACACTTTATCTCATGTGCAAAACCCCAACCCCAGATCAAGCCATACTCTGGCCCTGACTCTGCTGGCATTCCAGAAAACTTTAAAAAGCAGCTGTTTTCCTGGCATGGGGCTGGGAGGTTAATGAAGCCCACGAGAGGGATGCTACTTGTAGAGAAGGTTGTTGTGTTTGGCTGCCATTAGATGCATACAATACTTATTATTGTTATTGTTATTGTTTTTGCCGATGGTAGCTGCCTGGGGTCACGGTTTCAAGAAGGGTGGCCATATAAATTGACTGAAATAAATGAATAAATAAAACTGAACGTTGAGGTTTAGGCAATCCTGATGTAAGCAGGAGATGAGCAGGAACTGGCAGATGAAGGATTTGGGAGAGAGGAAAAACAGTGAATGTGAACTGGATACATGACAAAGGTTGTCAAAAATCTAAATATGCAAGAATTAGATAGCTGAATGCCTGTCTCCCAAAAAGACTACAGGAAAAAATCCACCACAGCAAGAAAGAGTACCGATTCCTGAGACGTCCTTCCAGGCAATGTCCATAACCAGATGGGCCATCTTCGGACCGACCCCAGGTAACTTCACCAGCTCTGCAACAGTCTGTGGGATGTCACCAGCATAGTCCCGCTTCAGGATTGCTGTGGTTTGCTGGATGTATCGCACCTTGTTCTGCAGCCCGTGAAAAGGTAAATCGTTGAGTGGACTAACACAGGAGTAAGAGTCCAAGGCCCATCCGAGTCCAGCATTTCTGTTTGTTTCCCAGTGTCCTAACCAGCTGAGCCCAGGGGAAGGAGAGGGTGCTTGCAACCAGGAGAGAGACCTACTCTTTCTCTCTCTCACCACTGTTCCCCTTCAGGTAGCATTTGGAGACAGCTGCCCCCAGTCCAGAGGTAACCAACAGCCCTCTATAGACCTGACCTGCATTTCTCCAAAGCTCTTTGAAAAGCCATCCGCGTTAGTGCCTATCACTCCATCTTAAGACCATCAGAACAGCTTTGTTGCATCAGGTCAAGGTCCGTCTTGGCCCAAAACTTTGTTCCTTGAGTGGCCAAACAGATGACCCTGGGGGCTTACAGCCAGGAGATGGAGACCTATCCCTCTCCACTGTGGTTCCTCTGCAACAGGTGTTTGGAGGCATTTGCCCCCAGCCTGGAAGTAATTTTCCTGCCTTCAAGACCAATAGCCCTCTGAAGATTGTCCTTCTCCATGACTTTATCCAATCTGCCTTAGAGCCACCCAGGCTGGTGGCCACCATCATGTTACAAGTTGATTTCATAGGTTCAGTAAGTGCCACGGGAAGAGATTTTTTTTTTTGGTCTGTTTTAAACTGCCTTCCCATCATATTCTATAGGTACAGTGACCATAAATCCTTTATTATATAAAGGACAGTCCTTTACTTCAAAAAGCTGTCCTTTAGGTTTATTTATTTTTTAAATTTTCTTCCATCCTTTATTTCGGTCATTTAACTTTTACCATACAAATGGTACCACTTAATGCACAGTGTTTCACATTCATGTGATAAATATGGAAATTGAGTTGTCTTTTTAAAATAAATTTACATTTAAAATTTTAATTTTAGATATTTTTATTAGAATATGCATTTTTGTAAACTTTGTCTTGGTTTTGCTCTTGAATTTTCCTTTGTAAAGCAAAGTTATAAACACAATTTTTTTATCCTTAGGAACCTCTTTCAGATTGGCCCCTTTTTCAGCCTTGTTCTTTATTTTTTCCAAGAAAATATGGTCACCATATCTATAGGTAACCCCTGGTCCTAATGTTTTGAGGGAGGAGGAATGTTTCTTCACACCATGCAAACAGCTTGACCAGGAAATCAAAGGGGACACTGAGGGGAACAGAGAGGCAGACTTTATCCACCTTTTACCTGCAGGGTCTCCTCGCCACAATGGGATGTGTAGGGTGACATTTTCCTAACTGGGTCTGTGCAGGCAGAGAATGGATTAAGTCGTAACAGCTACGTTCACACATAATTGGCCGGAGCCACTTTGGTGAAGCTGTTAAAACACTGGATTGTGACTTGGGAAGCTCTGTGGTGGCTTTGAGCCCAGCCCTCTCTGCCCAACCAGCCTACCTCCCAAGGTTGTAATGGGGTCAATGGGTGGCAGAAGCGCTCCCATGGAGGACAGAGCCTATAAATCTACAAAATAATCATGTTGCCCCACCCCCGTTCCTCCCCACTCACCATGTGGCAAATCACTCACCCTCCAAAAGCCAACAGGGTAAATGAGCCGGCCCAGAGCCTCCTCATCAGTCTCCAGGATCCGGTCCACTGTCAGACCATGCTCCCTCAGGCGCATCATGGCTGCTGAGGTCACTTGGTCTCTCGTCTGGCTGGAGAGCATGAGTGACAACAGAATCTGGTAGCGCCTCACCTGCCAAGCGGAAGGGAGAGAAGAGGCAGAGGGGGGCCTCTGTTTCTGGCCAGCCCCGCCCCCCAGCTCCTTCCCTGCCTCCTGGCTGCCCTGCTCACCTCTGGAGGGGCCTCCTTATCAAAGCACGCTCCAGCTCCCATCTGGTCAACGGGGGCGTCCCTTTTGCTCCGCATCTCCCGGATATTGGCCAGCTGCTGCTCCCAGCTGGCTGGTTCCCATTTCTGCTTCTTGGGCTCAGGTGCCTCCTCTGCCCCATTTCCTCCTGGGGGCTCATAGGCAATGCAGACTTTCCTCCCCCTCCGGGGATTTCTTGTGCAGAGGGTCTCAGTTGCTGCTATGATACACAATGCCACACACACACACACACACAAGTAACTAACAGGAGACTTGGAAAAGCTCTTGGACCATGGAAACTCACATGATTTCATCCAGTGCTACAAGACAGGAAGCAATTTTTGAACTTAGCAGGAGGAAAGAGAAGATACTGAACTGGGAAGAAAGAATCTGAGGATAACACAGGGGAAGCAACTGGGGAGTAGTGCTGTTATTCCCTCCCTCTCTCTCTTCTACGTGGCCTCATTCCTGAAGGCTCTGGACAACGAACAATGAAAATAACTTCCTAAATTAAAAACAACCCCCTCAAAAACAGTAAGTGGCTGTAACTAATATACGCACGATTAAGCACAGTCACAGAACTATCAAAATAATATACAAAATCTTCAAACCTTCTTCACAATCTGCCGGCCTCCTATGCTAGGTAGAGCAGCTGGGTCTGAAATGCAGGAGGGAAGGGGTCCATGGGCTGGGTCTCCATAGGGAGGGAGCTCCAAAGCTCCATCAAAAGCACCCACACCCGGGTCCTGGCAGGTGGCCTATTGTCTGGACAGGGCCCAGAGGGAGCTGATCCTGATCAGATGGGCGGAAGAATAGGGGGCAGAGCGGTCCCACAGATAACCCCTATTGTTTTCCTATTCTTAGCCTGGGTTTGGCATTTTTATCCTGCTACCGAGTCCTTTCCAAGGACCCGGGAGAGGCAGACCTTGTGGTTGTTATTATTGCTGCTATTACTGCCACTGTCTTCCCGGCTGTTCCTGCGTCTTTCGCGCAGCCTGGCATGCCAGAGGAAAGGAGAAAAAGGGTGAAATAGCTGCCAGCGACCGGGGGGGGGGCGGGGGGCAGTTCGACACAGAGCCGAAGGGGCTCGGCTGCCCAACCCTGCCGGGCCTCCGGGCCTGGGGAGCCTCCCCGGAGGGGGGGGGGGGGGGGGGGGGGGGCAGTTCGACACAGAGCCGAAGGGGCTCGGCTGCCCAACCCTGCCGGGCCTCCGGGCCTGGGGAGCCTCCCCGGAGGGGGGGGGGGGGGGGGGGGGGGGCAGTTCGAC